ACAGACGAGGTACATAGGTCACTACACAATCCCGCTACGTAGCCGAGTACATAAAGCAGATTCCACGCTGCTTCAGCCTTATAAAGAGGCTACATATTCCTCGGCTGTGTCATATTCCTGGCTCGAGCACAGTCACACGCATCGCTCGCTCGGTTTTTCACTCCCTCACGGCAAACCACTTTCGCGGATCTTCATCGGCTCCGACACCCACGGGGGTGGATTTCTCCTCTCGCCGTGATTTCTTCCCGCGGAGAGAACAATGGGACGATCGAACACCGCGGTGCACGTAATCCGCAGATTAGAGAACGATTATTCGTTGCGCAATGATAATTGCGACAAGGCAGGTAATCCCGATGGCTAACCAACGTTCCATTGTTTCTTCTGGTGTTAATTGAACTGCGAGCGATCGCTATCGCTGTTCAAGGCTTTCCCGAGCCGACGAGCTTCGGTTGGAAAGTGAAAATTCGATCGACATTCGTCGCGTAAGATTAACTTTCATCGACTTCATTAATATACCGCGTCTTTTTCTTTTCTCCTTTTTTTTCAAATTTGCTCCATTGCTGTGCGACGAATGAGCAGTGTACATAATATAATTGGAGCAAACGGTTAGCCTTTTATCAGGCGACGACTCTTTCACGAAGCTTCCTGACAATGAGAGTATGTATGTATAAATTGTGACGTTCGATTGTACAAGCACGTATGTACGAAACTAATGTGCGTATTGCGAGTCTCTCGGTCCGCAGTTGCGAGCAAGAAAGATACGGATAGACAGAGGGGAATGCATAACAAGCAACATTGTCCCACGTTAAAGGTGTATATCGCCTTTATCTCTTATTCGGCTTACTCAGCCGCGTGCACCGGCACGCAATCACTCGGCCCAGCCCCGAGAGAAAGAGAGCAGAGAAGGGAAAAGAAACGGTAACACGGCGAACATGCGAGCTCAATTATCCGGCCGCTTAGCTCCGTTTTCTGACGCTCGTGTCTGCCTACAAATAGTCGAGGCCCCGTCGCCTGAAAGGGGAAAAATACCGGACAACCTGCGACCGATCGATCCTTTCATTCATCAACTCCCATTATACGTCGTACGGGACGAAATCACCCGCGCCATAATGCTACTAACGATTCGTTCGTTCAACCTCTC